AAGTGTGGGCTTCACTCATGGAAAACTATTTTATTTAAGCTGGTTCGAGTTTTCCTGACGAGCAGTTAAAACAAGTTTTGTTATGGACCAAGTTTTTTCCAAGTTTCCATCATAAGATTTCAGTTGGACTCAGATTTGGACCGGTTAGCGGCCACATCAGGTCCTTCAGCACAAATCTTCTTATTAACGTAACTAAAGGTTTGGAAAGGGCAGCTTTTAGCTTTGATCCTCAGCTGCTGAGACTCTGCAGGAGGACCTGGGAGCAGCTCCTCCACCGCTTTCTTCTTCAGGCTCTGGGCGTGCTCACATGAAACATCATGTGACTGCACAAAACGATCCCTACGAGTGTTCCCTACTCCAATCAGGGAAGCTCACGGATAATTATGATAAAAATCTATGTCAAACATTTTAGTGCTGCTGCTTATTTGTAGCATTACAGCTTAAACGTTGCTCCTGTCCTGATGCAGCAGCTGCAGTTCCAGCAGCGTCAAAGAGATTCGGCAGCAGATTAGAGACAGTTTTTGGCTTAACAGCCCACCTGTATATGGGTACAGCAGAGGGTCCATACTGCACTAACTGGCTGTTGTAAATAATAAGTCAGTGGAGATCTGGCCCCTCCAGCATCCTCTGCTCCCACAGAGATTTTCATCATCTGTGATTTAGTAAAAAGAAAGGTCCTTCTGACCATTAACCTCCCCTCATAGCACACCCCTCTGCTTGGGCTTTGGATACTCTGACTTCACTTTATTTGGATTTAATTTCTTACTTTTAGCTTGTATTGGGCAGGATGCATTATCACCCTGAAACAACTTGAGGAAAGTGGCCAAACCTCAGCTAATCATTCCCATCTTTTACCGACCATCATAAAAGTTTGTTCCCAGAGTCAGAGGTGAATCAGGAAGAAAGGCTTTGAACGTGTCGCCCCCGACAGAAGCAGCTGAAAGTGTCAGAACTGGTCACAATCGGCGAGTTTAATATACATTTAAATGAGAACTCGTTGTGCTTCCAGTTCCAGAATCATCTCCACATTCAGGACGCTTCTCTTTAGCCCACTGTGTGTTTTCTGCTGTTAAGTGTGGGAGCTGACTTCCTGTTTAGCTTCAGCGCCACACGGACTCACTGTTCTGACTTCCATATGTTCCCACAGCCTTCCCATTTTGCTCCTGAGTTTAGACACAGCTGATTGGGAGCAAACAACATTTCCCCCCACTCTGTGTTGCATTTCCTTCTTGGAGGACTCGCGCTGCTTCAGCTGAACGCGCTGCAGCTTGGGGGCGTGGTCTGAAAAGCGTCTATTTGAACTGCCAACTATTTTGTGCGTTTAGATTTGTGCGTGCATTTGGTTTAGAGATGCAAATTAAAAGGTGAAGTTTTTCCACAAACCCAGATGCTCGAATCAAAAACTTTGCATCAAATCTGTGATTTATTTATTCCACATCTGTTCTCTTACCTGGTTGTCTTGTTTGATGATGTTCTGCGCAGCCAAAGTGTTGTTCTTCAGATTTCTGGCCAGGTTCAGCATGTCTTCAGCCAGCTTCTCCTGCAGGTTGTGGTGATGCTGCAGGACGGCGTCCAGCTCTGCGGCAGACTGACGCTCGTCCAGAGGAAAACATCTGCGCAGAGGTGACACAGGTCGAAGCTTTTACACCCAAAAACAAGTTCAACATGAGATCATTTAGAAAAGCTCGACTTTACCTTCGGTTCCTCAAGTCTGCGTCTAACGTGAGAAGAGAAAAGAAAAATAAAATCACCTCGTCTTAAAAACAAACAAACACAATCCTATCGAAATATCATTCGTCATATTTCCATCTGAATGTTATTAAATCCAAGAGGCGAGTACTTACCTACGTACGTACCTTTTCCCGACGACGCCTGCAGTGACAGAAAAGAACATTTATGAGTTTAAAACGTTTTATTTAAACGTTTCACACTGTTGTGGTTTAGCAGGCGCGCTGCAGCTCGTGCAGAGGTCACGTCTGCAGTGCGGTCAGAGCGTCCTACCGTGCCGAGCAGCTCGTCCCTCATCTCTCCCGTGCACCGCGCCTTCGTCTGCGTGTGGACTTTTTTAGTGACAGACATCCTCTCGTTGGCCATCGTGGCCGTCCGACCCGGAGCGAGGAACTGATTAGCTAAAGCTTTTTCTGTTGGTGAAGACTGAAGCAGAGCGGGAGGGACAGGAAGTCACTCAAAGCTTCACTTCAAAATAAAGGAAACAGTTGTGTCGAGTTAAAAACAGGAAACACTGACCAGCTTCTCTGCTTCTAGAGTTCCTTTCAGAAAACTGACTTTTCTCGTGTATTCAGCCAGCACCTCTGGTGTCGGTTTGCTGGAAGGACACACAACCGCTTACTGACAAAACTTTGTGTTATTAAGCTGCAACGAGCAGATCAAACATCTGTGATAACACGCAAGCCTGATGTGACCTGTTAGAAGATAAACTCTTTTCCCTAAACACCAAACATGTTTAAAATAGGTTCTTAATAACATTTGTACATTTCAGGCAAAAACAGGAAACATTGAGACATAAAAGTGGAGGCTGGTGTTACCTCGGGCTTTTCCTCAGAGCCACCAGCATCTCTTCCAGGGCGCCCACATACTGAGGAGACCAAACAGACAGTGATGCTGCTCACATGCTCTCGTTTATCACATCTTTATTTCAAAGTAACAAATGTTCAATAAATATAAATACACTGGGCCAAATAACAGAGGCTGGGTCACAAAGCCACACAGGAGCTACTGAGACCAGCTTAGGATGACTGTGGGTGATGACAGCACACTCACTGCTGCAGGTGGACACTAGTGTAGTCTTCATCGACACACACACACAGGTAATGCAGAAAAACAGCTGTGAGCCTGCAGAGGCGGTTCCTACTCTGTGCCAGTAAACAGCATCAAGTGGAGGATCCTTAAATATATCTGTAACAGTTCCTGTTTGTAGCAAAGCATCGTTGAGGTTACACTAACACCAGGCCAGTGGTTGCTGATCTCCACCAACCAGTCAAGCTGCAGTTTACAGCCACGCTGGCACGGATGAGTCAAAGTGTTGATTTGGTGGCGTCTGCTGTCACAGCGAGTCGGTTCACTGAGAGAAACAGACTCTCACCACATCAGACCAAGTGTAAATGTGGTCTAATGACAAATGTAATGAGGAGGAAGCAGTGCAAGATGAAAGTCGCACTGACTGTTCTTACTTTAGTTACTCCAGGCAACTCCAGGCCTCGAGGGCCGGCGTCCTGCAGGTTTTAGATGTGTCCATGATCCATCACAGCTGATTTAAAGAGCTAAATGACTCCTCAGCATTTCTTGAAGTTCTCCAGAGGCCTGCTAATGAACTAATCATGTGATTCAGGTGTGTTGACCCAGGGTGCGATCTAAAACCTGCAGGACACCGGCCCTCGAGGCCTGGAGTTGCCCACCTCTGCTCTAACCTTTCATTTACTCTATGACACTAAATCATGCAGCTGATTGGTTTATCCTGCTGCTTCAGGTTAAAGGGTCTTCACTGCTCAGCTGTAGGGAGCCACTCGGTCCACCGTGACACGAGGTCACTGAGAAGAGGCGTCTTGATTTATTCAGTCCCAAGTGGCCTGGCGACGCCTGCTGTTACTCGTTTGCGTTAAAGTTACAGGTCACACATCGAGCTCAGCGACTGTTCCTTTAAAGCTGCTTATTGTTCATAAAAATATTTAAACCCCATAAACTAAATTAAAGCTTTCAGTGGAATTTAAACAGGCTCTGAATTCAACCAAACACGTGTGTCAAAGATAAAAGCTGCATATCTTTGACACAACACAAAGATATGCAGGTGCACACAGGTGTTCACAGACGCGGACTACACCTTTCTTGGCTGCTGCCTTAAAGCACATTGTGCGCTGTCTATCTTGCGTGCTGCACAATAGCGTTTAACATTTAGTATCTACTGTTAGCTAGTTTATTGTGATGGTGCTGTTTTTATTATGTTGCTCTTTTTTGTTTGCTTTCTCTTCTGTTTTTTTTTCTCCATACAGGTGATCCAGGTGTTTTGTTTGTTTTTCTTTCTTTCTTCCCCCCTTTCTCACCGTCTCTTCTCCCCTCTGGTTTTCTTTCTCTCTTTCTTTCATTCTTTCTCCCTGTCCTATCCCCCAGTCATGTCTGTTCCGTTTGTAGCAACCGAAAATAAAATAAATTCATAATTATAATAAAGGTCAATCAAATGGACCAATATGGCCATGATGATCCACTTGGTAAAGTAAATCCGCTTGGCATCTTTCTGGGCCTTAAGACAACAATTCTGATGCTAAAGATCCAAACGGGACAAAAAAAAACCAAAAAAAAAAAGATAAAAGCTGCACTTTGTTGTAAGACCACTTTGCACCACAAGAGGGTGCAGTGTGTCACCGTAACCTTTATTTAAAAACAGGCACCTGTGTATTTTAAATCAGCGGTCCCCAACCCCCGGGCCTCGGACCGGTACCGGTCCGTGAGTCGTTTGGTACCGGGCCGTGAGAGTTGAGGCTCGGGTGTGAAATGTCTGGTTTTCAGGGTCTTTTCATGTGTGTTATGAATAAATCTTCTTTTTTTCGGTACCAGTACTAGTTTTATTTTGTTGTATTTATCCTTAAAGGCCGGTCCGTGAAAATATTGTCGGGCATAAACCGGTCCGTGGTGCAAAAAAGGTTGGAGACCGCTGCTTTAAATGACGGCCTGGCAAAAGACGAGATCTCATGAGGCTCTTTGTTAGCAGTGCTGCCCCCTGGTGGTCAAAGTTTTAGTAACAAAAGTTAGCCGTAATTTGCCATCACCGAACGACCACAATCGTCCATGAAGACGGTGGTACAAATCTCTACGTTACAGAAGTGTCACATCACGACATCAATCATATAGCAACTCTATGCATTTATGTTTCCCTGCACACAAGCCGCATAGAGAGCCGCGCAATTAATTGAAAATAAATCAAAACTGATGTTCTGAACTCTCAACAGATGTGATCTGGTCCATGTCATCTTTGTTTTAAATTTAAATTCTGTTAACATTTCACTCAATGAGAGTTCACACAGTAACGTGTTTCTATGACATGAAGCAAGATGTAAAAAGACCTCAACACAGTTTCAGCGTCCAAACGTAACACCACCAATCTGTTTCAACAGCTGGAGCACAATCACAATATCGCAGCTTTACAGCCGAGCGCATTTACAGCTGAGTGCATCTGCAGCCGAGCGCATTTGCAGGTCAAACCCTGTCAGCAAACTATCGGGGCAAGAACAAGTACATAAAGGAAACTCCTTCGTTAATGTCAATCGAGGTAAAATGTTCAATTGTTTTGATTTGAGGCCCGGCCCGAGCATATCTGAGTACGAGAGCAGTGTGAGGACTTAATCAGGGAGCTACTAAACAACCTCACTGCTCTGCAAAATATGAAAGAGAGCTGTTCCTGATGAAAACGGCAACAACAAACACGTTTCACCACTAGAAGCACAAATACTCCGCAGGAGGAGACGCTAGGAGCTGGTGTCTCGGGTTGGAATCCAGCGTGGGGCCTTTCTGTGTGGAGTTTACACAGCACAAAGACTTGCATCTGTGGCTAACTGGTGAGTCCAGTCCCCTCACCCATCGGCTCTAAGATCTCCACTGCCTACTGGTTAAGACTCAGAGATCACATTAGTTAGACAGGCAGTCGATCCAGACTTCCTGTACTGGGGGTGCTGGTTCCACAGATCAACAGTGTGGGTGTGAGTGGTTATCTGTCTCTCCATGTAACCCCCGTGACACACCTCACCTGGCCAGGATGTACCCTCCCCCTCATCCTTTGACAGTTAAGGTTAGCCCCCCCCTGAGGAATATTGATGGATTGTGCAGATACTTAAGAA